ACGTAGCTTCATGGAATCAGCAGACGGTTTTAAGTTTGAACACACTTGATGGTGAATATCATCCATCCTTTCAGATAACACTTTCACAAACTCTGACACATTTTCAGGCAACTCTTCGTAAGGTGGGCGTTCTATTATCAAGTCCACTGGCAACTGAAGTTCCCGACCAAACATCAACTTTGCTGGAGTGTATCCAGTGGCTTCATGCTCTGCTGTTCTGTAGGCCATCAACAGTGGAGGGAGTGAGACATCCCAGTAATCTTGGTGGCTATTACAAAACTTTGACAATTCCAGTTGTACTTTTTTACCATCCCATCAGACTGTGGGTAAAGTGGCGTTATCCTGGTCTTTTGTATGCCAAAAGAACTTGCAGCATTCATGGAACACAGCTGATTCAAAGTTACGGCCTTGATCTGAATGCAGATCGTATGGCATACCAAACCTGAAGAAGAAATCACTAAGAGCCGAAGCTACTGTTGTAGCTTCCTAATTTGGTATTGTATATGCCTCAGGCTACTTGGTGAAATAATCCATCACCACACAAATGTTTCCAGCACGAGTTTGGGGCAAAGGACCAACAATATCAACAGCTACTCTTTCCATTGGTGTGCCAACTTGATATAACGTCATTGGAGCACGTCCTTTATGCTTGGGTCCCCTTTTAGCACAAAATGTACTGCAGGTCCTGCATCATTCTTCCACATCTTGCCTCATACCTGTCCAGTAAAATCTCTGTCGTAGGTGACACAATGTCTTCTTAACTCCAAGATGTCCACTTGTTAATACTATCATGGGATTGATGCAGCACAGGTTCCAGTAACTTTCTCGGTATAACTGTTTGCCAGGTCGTCACTTTCCCATCAGCAGTTTCCCATCTCTGGACAAGAATACCATCTTCAACTTCAATTGGTCCCATTGTGCCCAGTAGTTCTTTGACATAGGGCTTAGACTAGACACCTTCTCCCAAGCAGGGCGCAAAACACTTGCTTGTAGAAAATCAATTATTGGCTTCAAATCTTCGTCTTTCTCCTGTTCTGCTTTAATATCTATATTTGTTCCACTTCAGTCACTTTGACTTCAGCTTGATGACACCTGGTAAGTTCAACCTCTATTATAACACTTACCGGAATTTGGCCTTTGTTGTTCCCAAACGTCATTTTATCAAATTAATTACACACTTCCTTGATAGTATGTAGTCCAACCCTAGTATGCATTGGTCTTCAATGTCAGCCCAGTATACTTTGTGTCTGTCCTTTAAGCCCACGAGCTCAATAGTTACCCACACTGGTCCCCACAACCTTGCATAATGTCCTGTCACACCACAGAGCTTCTGTA